TGTCAAGGCAGTGCGGGTGTTGCCATCCCCCACAATCTCATTGTTTGCCGTGGTCATAGCATAGTCTACTCGTCCGGACTCGAGTCTAGGGTACGAAAGCTGGTACCACCAACCAACATCGACAATGGTGTACGGAAGCCAGAGTTGTTTGATATGATTGTAAACAGTCTCTTTCTGGAGAGCAGAACCACATGTCAATACTTCTTCGAATATAAAAAAAGACAGTAAGGATGGTTGAGCTTACCTCATCTCTCAACCACATGATGCCGCCGGGCGGAGCCACTGTGATAAATCCGCACGGGACAAATCGCTTGACACCAGCTTTCTTCGCAGCCTTTGCAAGAGGAATCTGGTCTTGTTGTTCGGCGGGACCGACACAGCTGATGACAATATCGATATCTGTAAGGGCTTCGGCGAGTGACTCCTCTGAGCCTCTCAAATCGCATCTGCGCACTTTGACACCCCGTTCTTGAAGGGAAACAATGGCCGGTTTTTGGACCGATCGGGGACGAACAAGCGCATAGACTTCCTGTAAGCGATATTGCAGTCAGAATACGGTGCTATCATTTTCCGCGAAGAATTCAACAAGCGGGGGGGGGGGGCCTCACAAAGATTGGGTTCTCAAGGAGTCCATTTGCGATTGAGCCGCCAGTCTCACCGGCTGCTCCAACCAGCAAGACTCTCGTGCGCGACATGATTGGAAAATGTGTAGTGATTTGAAATTTCGTCCCAGCGGAGTGTCTTGGAAGATTTGCGGTAAAGCGAGTGGACAGTGGAAGGATTCAAAGCACGTAAACAGAAGGAAATGAAGATAAAGAGTTTCCAACAGTAGCAGATCGAGGATCAGTCGACGTTATAAAATGGCAGCGTCCCACCCAAGGATGACTACTACCCACAATTTCCAACCCAGAGTGGCCAGTAGTGGGTCGAAGGTGGATATTCAAATCCCAAAAAGAGGAGCGCTGTATGGACATGCGGTGGCTAAGGGGGGTTTCAGTGATTCAGCCCGCTGCAATGAGGAGAACCGATCAACCACGTCTCTTCAGGTCAGATTTCCCATGCATTCGAAGAGATCTGAATTCTATTGTGGTATTCAAAGAACATATGACTACAGATTCTAATCCTTTGAGGATACTCGGAAGGCCGGATCTTTTAAGGCGTTTCAACCTCTCACTCCCACGGGCCGGTGGCTCGGGACTGGAACCTAAATGGACCCTACGTCATTCTCACCACGGCTTCCCGGACATTGGCAGAGTATCTATCATTAAAAGACCCATCATCATTGAGACACTTCATTTCCGTTGACAGTTTGATGGAGTCGCCGTTTGCTGTTTGGAATTTATCTCTACCGCCAGGTAGCCTGTCTGCTCGGTATCAAGGTGTAGACATCATCTGGTCGCACGACCATGGTGCATTTGCCAGCCTCTTTACTGTGCAATAACCGGGCAAGACTCATTTTGCCTACTGAATATGCACACCAGGGTAATTGGACATGACTGTTGCAGATAATAATGCGGGGAGAATCCCATTCAACCCCTCCTTTTCTGCATTAATGTTGCAAGCCCTCTGCGACTTGTTCTTGTTGGTGGTGTTTTATGTGGTAATCGCTCCCCTAATTTTTTGGTTCATGACTAACCCCCCACGTCACAGATCTTCGGATCTGCATGGCGCTTTTTCAGCAGTAGCCAAGAACATTGTCCTCACAACCTTGGCTTAATGACGACATATGGCTATGTTACCTTGGTAGTACATCATTGGTTCATCATCAACTTGCAATAATGGAGGTCCCATGGGCTAGCATGAATCGGCGTCTTTTCTTTCGAGGCAGATACAGCCCCAAAAATGGTCGGAGGCAAGGGGTACGGAGAAAGTTACGTTCCGAGCACCCAAAACGAGGGTCTACGGATTAGGGTACTCCGTACCTTGTGATAATCAGTTCCAGTCAATGAGAACGTTCAGATCATCCTGATCACCGCGGTTCAGCGGACTCCCCCGCACTATTTGACGGTCCAAAAGTCTGATATGACTTGAGTCTTTGACCAGATCGCCTTTCACCTGATTCAAATACCTGATTCAAATGAACATCATTTTTCCAATAGCTGGACAGTTTCAGCCACAGAAGCCAGGACCCCATGGGTCAAGCGAGGGCCAGGGACTTGAAACAAGCTGGATCATGGCAGTGGCAGTGGTAGATAGTCATCGCGGGGTAGTTGACCTCCCTACGTTGCCCATGCTGCCACTACATACCCAGTAAAAACTGCGTGAACGGACAAGTGCATTTGACCAGGGCGATAAATCATTGGCCTACCATGAATCTGCGATAGTCTATCCCGCAATGACTCCGTGCACACTGAGTAGATCTGATGTTGATGGGCCGACCTGCACAGTAGCAGTAGAAAGTGTTATCCAAGGGATGATCCCCGAAATTTTCAGTGCGCTCTTCATGTGCAAATGGAAGTCTGACAATCAAGCTCGTTGAGGACTCGGCGCCCTCAGAGGAGAATTGCAATTGGCTGGCGACTGAATACAAGCTAGATAATACACCGTGGGCTAACTGCTGCTTAACCATGCCAAGCGGACGGCGCGACACGCGGTTGACATTATTATTTAGGGGTCTTTGGGCATCAAGCAGATGATGCATGTGAGAAGTGGGAAAATATTAAGTAAAAGGAGAGAAGACTCTATGTGAGCTTTCCCTGCGGGCACAAATGATAGCCTAAGTCTGTCAATAAAGGCTCTGCACAAAGAGTCCCGTTCCAAGTGTACAAGCAAAGGCCTGTTGCTTGCTTTCTCCTGGCAATTCCAAGTTTCTACCAGTATGTGTCGAATATACCTAAGGTATCGAGCATTGAGCAAATCTGCACCACTGACCACGATCAGATTAGACCTAGATGATTACTTGAAAGACGGCAAACGAAATTGAGCCTAACATAATTGTTCAGATGACTTATATATTCAGGCAAATGGGTATTCAACGCCCCTCCGACCTATAATTTATAGATGAGACGACGACGTACTGGTATATACATCTGGTATACCCTTCCAGGAAAAATCCACTGCGATCAACGGCCTGTTGACGATACTTGCGTCAGGTCACAGAGGTCTGCGGTGCGTGCAGGACTGACTTGCATAACTACAGCGGCGAATTCAGCGCTCAGGTAGGCAACACCATCTTCAGAATGGAATCAGAGCTGACGACAGTAGTTTCCCGCCATCCTTGGTCACGAATCAGTGGTTGTCATAGCAGTCATTTGGGTCAGAAGTAGGGTTTCGTCGTGGATGATGTTGTCCTGGGCGGCAACACAGAACTATGCGGACAACGCTTCTACTGCCGTCGCGGACACGGACTCTCTCCTGAGGACTGTATCGTCCTCGATGTGATGGATGGTAGATGGCGGTTTCGTTGAATACGCAGCATACCCCCCCAAGAGGGTCATTCGCCTCGACGATCTCTCCGGCAGCCTGCGCGGCGCTCAGGGTGCATAGGGTTGCTTCTCAGATAGCATCGCGTGTGCCGATGTTTGGTGCTGGCCCAAGAGGAGCAGGGCTTGTTCTAGCTCATCTGAGGCGTGAAAATGGCAACGTCATATTTTTGTTGCCGCCGCACCGGTAGTCAAGATGCAACTGTCCGGGTCTCTCGAGGTTGCCGATAAAGATATCGACCTTCCCCGGGATCAGGCCGCTGCATTTCGCCATGTTGGGACAAGCTGCACAAGGACACTGCCGCGCGCATCGATTTCGTGGTTGAGGCGACTCCAAATGTTTCAAGTCTCGAGCGCATAATGCCTTGTCCGATAGGGAGATAGCTGGTAGTTTACGGCGTCAACGACAGCAACGTTCGCATCACTTTGCTGTTCAAGAAGATCTTCAATGATGAAATGATGGTCCTTGGATCATTAGCGACATGAACGAGTCGCCTGCTGCATTGACTATCTTAGTCTGTAGTGAAAGTAGACGCTGTAGATGTTGCCGACTACAGAACACGAGCATCATCTGACCAAAATTCAGTGGTCTGAAATGAAATACAAATCTTCCAGCAAATGGAGATGAGCTACTAGACTACGCCTTATGAACTACATCTCAGCAGCTAAGTCAATAAGTGCAAAGACCTGTTGTGATTAAGAGGACGCTGTACGGATTATTGTATCTGTGGACATAATAACAGTGAGAGGGAGGATGTGATAGATCAGCCACTGCGCCCTTCTCCGCATGATTAAATTGGCTTGGTTCTTTGGCCGGAAGGCCCTGCCACCTCTTGTCCGTCCACTTCTGGAAATTTTCTCGTTTAAACCTCGGGGCATTTGCTATCTATCAAGGATCAATCAAAACGCATGGCGGGAGTTGCCGACCTCTTGGCACATTGTCTGTTCAATCACAGAGGGTACTAACTACCGCTTTAGGCTTCCCGACGTCGGAAGAGTCCCATCCTGGTCAAAGAAAGTGTTAGCACCGACTAATCGAGTCCCCGACTGTTAATGACTCAGGAGTCAGGAATGCTCTCTTGATCATATTGCTCGTGCGCTTCTCTTAGTCACAGTGACCAGGATGTCGAGTCTCGTTGTTCCAATGGAGCGGCCTCCGGGTTTTGGTATGTGGTTCACTTACAGCGGATGGCTTGACACTATCCCCCTCCTGCTGCCTTTAGGCTGCTCTTGGCTGGCCATGTGGAGAGGCATGGCTGGATTGCCCTCTGGAGGTAAAGTATGTATCTTTTTCCTGAGGCCTAACATGCTTCCAGTTGAGGGTCGGTTTGTTCCTTCGCCTTTCCCTGCCCAGCTGCCAAGCGTATCACTAGCAAATATAATTATTTTAGCCTCGTTTCCTCAAGCACAAATGTGTCCGAAGAGTTTTAGTCTACCTTAGTACTATTCTTTTATTATTCGCACTGTTAGTCCCGTCACCACTGTTTTCCTCTTCTGTGCTTAACCCTCTCCATATCGTGCCTGGCGAGAATTCCTGATAAGATCCTTTGTTCCACGTCCTGGGTTGCGACTGCATCTATGGACGAGAAACCAGCAGTCTCCGAGACCAGCAATGGCTCGGACGTAGACTCCCTGTCTACTGCCAGTGAGTATGAACAACACCGAGAACGGCTCAGGGACGCGAATCCACGGGGAGTGACCTCTCATCGGTCAGGCGTCAATGTCAAGGAAGCAGAAGAAGAGTTCTCAGAGCTCAACAAGCAATTCTCTACCATCTCACATCAAGCTCATCGTTTGTCCAAGCAGACTTCACGAGCTTCCAAGCCAACAGTGAAAACGGAAGATGTTGAAAGGTCCGACAGTCCAGCTGACTCGGACGAGCCGTGGGATCTTGAAACCGCTCTGCGTGGTAACCGGGACGCGGAAACAGCAGCTGGAATCAGGAACAAACGCATAGGTAATTTCATGAGCGCTCTGTTGCTCCAGAAGGTCTTTACTTGTACTGACGGCTCGTAGGAGTCATATGGGATAACCTCACCGTTCGCGGAATGGGAGGCGTCAAGACGTATATCAAAACATTTCCGGACGCGATTATTGACTTTTTCAACGTCCCGGAGACGATAATGCACATGCTCGGTTATGGCAAGAAGGGGAAAGAGTTCGAAATCTTGAAGAATTTTCGTGGAGTGCTACAACCCGGAGAGATGGTCCTCGTTCTGGGACGTCCAGGATCAGGCTGCACCACATTCCTGAAAACGATCACAAACCAGCGTTTTGGCTATACTAGTATAGATGGCGATGTCCTCTACGGTATTTTCGACGCCGACACCTTCGCAAAGAGGTTTCGCGGCGAGGCTGTCTACAATCAAGAGGATGACGTTCATCAGCCCACACTCACGGTCAAACAGACCTTGGGATTTGCGCTAGACACGAAGACACCGGGAAAGAGACCTCTGGGAGTTTCTAAGGGCGAGTTCAAAGAGAAAGTTATCAATATGCTACTCAAGATGTTCAACATCGAACATACCGCCAATACCGTGATTGGAAACCAGTTCATCCGGGGCGTCTCAGGAGGAGAGAGACGTCGAGTGAGTATTGCAGAGATGATGGTAACATCAGCAGCGGTTCTGGCTTGGGATAATAGTACTCGTGGGCTGGACGCTTCAACTGCTCTGGACTTTGCCAAATCACTGAGGATCATGACAAACATCTACAAGACTACGACGTTTGTCTCTCTTTATCAAGCCTCTGAAAATATCTACAAGCAATTCGACAAGGTCCTGGTGATCGACAGCGGTCGTCAAGTATTCTTCGGTCCCGCCTCTGAGGCAAGATCATATTTCGAGAGCCTTGGTTTCAAAGAGAGACCTCGGCAGACCACTCCTGACTATTTGACTGGCTGCACAGATCCATTTGAACGGGAATTCAAGGAGGGACGAAGTGCTGACAACGTTCCGTCCACGCCAGACTCGCTTGTGGAAGCGTTCAATCAGTCTTCGTACAGTGAGAGACTCGCCCAAGAAATGGATGCTTATCGAAAGAAGCTGGAACAAGAGAAGCATGTCTACGACGACTTCGAGATCGCCAATCAGGAAGCGAAGCGCAAATTTACTCCTAAATCTTCGGTCTACTCGATACCCTTCCACTTACAGATTTGGGCGCTGATGCAACGCCAGTTCCTGATCAAATGGCAGGACAGATTTGCTCAGACGGTCTCTTGGATTACCTCCACCGGTGTCGCCATCATTCTAGGTACAGTCTGGCTGCAACTACCCAAAACTAGTGCAGGAGCATTTACCAGAGGTGGTCTACTCTTCATCAGTCTGCTCTTCAACGGATTTCAGGCCTTTGCCGAACTCGTATCGACGATGATGGGCCGCTCTATCGTCAATAAACACCGGCAATTTACCTTCTATCGGCCAAGTGCACTGTGGATTGCGCAAATTCTGGTGGATACGACGTTTGCTATTGCCCGAATCCTCGTCTTCAGCATTATTGTCTACTTTATGTGCGGTCTTGTTCTCGATGCAGGCGCCTTTTTCACGTTCATCCTGATTATTGTGCTCGGATACCTCTGCATGACTTGCTTTTTCCGCGTCATTGGCTGCATGAGTCCCGACTTTGACTATGCCATGAAGTTTGCCTCTGTGGTGATCACTCTGTTTGTTCTGACGTCCGGCTATCTCATACAATGGCCTAGCGAGCAAGTGTGGCTGCGATGGCTGTACTACATCAATCCGTTCGGACTGGGATTCGCCGCGCTGATGGTCAACGAGTTCAAGGATCTTACCATGACATGCACTGCAGACTCGTTGGTGCCGAGTGGCCCAGGCTACGACGACATGGCAAGTCGTGTGTGCACACTTGCTGGCGGAGAGCCAGGCTCGGTCATTGTTCCAGGTGCGAGCTACCTCGCAAAGACGTTCAGCTACTTCTCGGGAGATCTGTGGCGAAACTTTGGTATTATGGTTGCACTCACCGTTGGCTTCCTGACCCTGAATCTGTACCTCGGTGAAACACTGCAGTTTGGGGCTGGAGGAAGGACCATTACCTTCTACCAAAAGGAGAACAAGGAGCGCAAAGCGCTGAATGAAGCCCTGATGCAAAAGCGAGCCAATCGGGAGTCTAAGGATCAATCAGCTACGAATCTCAAAATCACCTCCAAATCAGTCTTCACCTGGGAAGATGTCTGTTATGACGTTCCTGTGCCATCGGGTACTCGCCGGCTTCTTCAATCAGTCTACGGGTACGTGCAGCCGGGCAAGCTAACGGCGCTTATGGGAGCTTCAGGCGCCGGAAAAACGACGTTATTAGATGTTCTGGCCGCCAGAAAGAACATTGGTGTGATCAGTGGCGATATTCTGGTCGATGGTGCACCCCCTCCCGGAAGTTTCTTGCGTACCGTGTCCTACGCGGAGCAGCTGGATATCCATGAGCCCATGCAAACCGTACGAGAGGCCTTACGCTTTTCGGCTGACCTTCGCCAGCCTTACGAAACACCGCAATCCGAAAAGTACGAGTATGTCGAGGGCATCATCCAGCTTCTTGAGCTTGAGGATCTTGCCGACGCGATTATCGGAACCCCGGAGACCGGCCTCTCAGTCGAAGAAAGAAAACGCGTCACCATTGGTGTTGAGCTCGCTGCCAAACCTGAGCTGCTTCTGTTTCTCGATGAACCTACGTCTGGCCTCGACAGTCAATCGGCATTCAATATCATTCGGTTCCTGAGGAAGCTTGCCGCCGCCGGACAGGCGATTCTATGTACCATCCACCAACCGAACTCTGCCCTGTTTGAGAACTTTGATCGACTTCTCCTATTGCAAAAGGGAGGAGAGTGCGTATACTTTGGTGACATTGGAGAAGACTCCCATGTCCTTTTGGATTACTTCCGCCGCAACGGCGCCGACTGTCCACCCGACGCAAACCCGGCAGAATGGATGCTCGATGCCATCGGTGCAGGCCAGACTCGCCGAATTGGAGATCGGGACTGGGGAGAGATCTGGCGCACGTCCCCTGAGTTGGAGCAGGTCAAAAGAGAGATTATTCAGATCAAGGCTCAGCGTGCGGAGGAGGTCCGACAGAGCAGCGGCTCGCAGATAATCGTCAAAGAGTATGCTACACCACTGGGGCACCAGATCAAGGTCGTTTGCAAGCGAACCAACGTCGTCTTCTGGCGATCGAGGAACTACGGCTTCACACGACTATTCAACCACGTCGTCATCGCCCTAGTCACCGGTCTCGCATTCCTGAACCTAGACGACTCCCGCGCCTCCCTCCAATACCGAATCTTCGTCATCTTCAACGTGACCGTCCTCCCAGCCATCATCCTCCAACAGGTGGAGCCCCGCTTCGAATTCTCGCGGCTAGTGTTCTTTCGCGAATCCGCCTGCAAATCATACAGCCAATTCGCATTCGCCCTGTCCATGGTCATCGCCGAGCTCCCCTACAGCATAATCTGCGCCGTCTGCTTCTTCCTCCCCCTGTACTACATCCCGGGCTTCCAAGCCGCCTCCAGCCGAGCCGGCTACCAATTCCTCATGGTCCTTATCACCGAACTCTTCTCCGTCACCCTGGGCCAAATGATCTCCGCTCTGACGCCAAACAGCTTCATCGCCTCGCAGATCAACCCGCCCCTCGTCATCATCTTCTCGCTCTTCTGCGGCGTCGCCATCCCCAAGCCCCAAATGCCAGGCTTCTGGCGCGCCTGGCTCTACCAGCTCGACCCCTTCACCCGCCTCATCAGCGGTATGGTCACCACAGAGCTGCACGGCCGCACCGTCTCCTGTGCCGCCAGCGAGTATAATCGCTTCCAGGCCCCGGCGAATCAGACCTGCGGCGAGTACATGCGGCCGTTCTTCGAGCGTGGCGGGCTGGGATACCTCGCCGATAACACGACGCAGGCGTGCGAGTACTGTGCGTATAAGATCGGGGATGAGTTCTACAGTACCTTTTCTATGAGCTTTGATACCAGGTGGCGGGACCTGGGGATCTTCCTTGCTTTTATCGGGTCTAATCTCATTATTCTCTTCCTGGCGGTGAGTGTCATCTTGTTTGTTGATTACGATACAGACTAATTTATGATTTTCCAGTCCCGCTACCTGAACTACAATCGCAGATAATCTTGTGGGACGGCGTTCACGAAAGAGGGACTGAAAGCGCACGTGCAATTATTGATGGCTATATAATGTCTCACGTTCCCAACATGTCCATACTCGATATTACCAAAAGTCGCAAGAGGCGTTAGATTGCATTCATGTCTTAGATCCAGGATAGATCTAGACCCATCGTCGAGCTAAACTCGACTCAATATATATAGCGGAAACTGCGGGGAAGTACGAATTAGCTAGACCAATCATCATATAATCAAGAATGAAAGACATACTTGAGATTCTCCCGATCCGTCAAATCCAAAAACGCAGTGGAATCCAGATCTCGCCCCTCGAGTCCACCCTGCATCTGCGACTGGATCCGATCCCTCTTCTTGTTCTCCCACCGGAGAAGAAGGCCAAGAGCGGAGATGAGAACGACCTCGATCAGATGCGAGACGATCATGGACCAGATGCCGAGGGAGTAGGTTGGTCTGCGACAAAGTCAGGATGCAACTGATCAATGATGATGATAGAAAAAAGGGAAGGCAACGTACTTCTGATTCGTCTTGTAGAAAAAGGGACCCGCAATGTTCCCAGTACAGTAGCCCAGAAAGAGGACTGCGTTTGTGACGACCTTCTTCGTATGTCCTGCATCATCCGATTAGACCATCACAGCTCCGAGGAAGATCAGCAATTAGAATGGGGGCAGTACCTGCAGTATTCGCGATCTGCATGCTCAGAATCAAGACAAAGGCTGCGTTGTACGGACCCGTGAGGTAGTAGCAGATCAGCCGGCCAACTTTTTGGTCTAGCGGGACAAAGCGCAGGCCAAAGGCGCCGGCAATATTGGGGAGCAGGAATAACAGGATGAAGATGCAGCGGCGGTTCTCGAAGCGGTCATTGAGATAGACGCAGAGAAGGATGGAGAGTGCGATGAGGACGCCGTAGGGGATCTATATTAGAACGGTGTTATTAAGATTCGGTGAATGTGGGCAAATCGAGGACAACCATACCTGCATCAGGGTGGTGACCAGGGTTGAAAAGCCGAAGCCCTTGATGATCAACGTGCCGAAGTTTGAGATACCGCCGTTGGGGATGTTGCCTGTGCAAATTAGGTGCTGGCCTCTGTGGCAAGAGGATAATACTCACAAACACAGCCTAGCATAAAGAAAATGTAAAGCTTGTAGTCCTTGAACGCCTCTAGAACTTGGTATGGCTTGAGATGCTTGTTCTCAACACCTGTCTGGTTCTCTCTTAACCGTTCAACGGCAACTCGTCGTTCCCTGGGGGTAAGACCTGGTGCAGAGACGGGCGAATCAGGAAGGAAGATGAACATGACTATGCCCCAGGTGGAGCAAAGGGCGCCGCTGCACCTCAGTTAGCAAGTTACCATACTGCTAGGTTCTAGTACTCTGGACTTACATGACGAGGAATTCGTACTTCCAAGATGGAAGCGCACCTTTAAGATGCCCAATCCCATAACCCAACAGCCCACCAAGTGCAATACCAAAGCCATTCGCGGTATACCACAGGCCAATTCGGACAGGCTGCTCTTTTCTTGTGTAAAACATGCTGGTAATCAACATAAAGGCAGGGTCGGCACAGGCTTCTGCCGCGCCTCCTAACGCTCGAAGAACAGCTAGGGTGGTGAAGTTGTGGCATGCTGCCTGGATCATGAGGAAGACTCCCCTAGTATACGTGAGTATAATGCTTTTTTGGAAGGAAAGGACAGGAATTGCCCGGTGTTTGCTGTACATACCACATGAAGATATTGGCACCCAGGTACTTCCCTGTCACACACGAAAATGGTTACAATCCCATCCTCCGACATCTGTATGGAACACATACCGATTGGCAGACGCTGCAGGAGAAAGTTTGTAGGGAAAGCCCAGGCCAGGAAACCAAAGTAGAATATACTGCTGAGCCAGCTATACTGCGTTCCATGGAGCTTGAGGTCATCCACGATGCCGAAGATAGCTGCATAGCTCAGAGTCGTCTGAATATCGAGATCGAACATCAGTATAGTCAAGTGAAGAATTACTTTGACGCCAACCTACCTTATCAATGTAGAAAAATGCATAGCAGACGGCAAGGTACGGAAGAATCATCATATCGATCTTCCACAACACTCTTCTCGCCTCCGCTGGATCTACCTCTTCATGAAGCTCGTCTGGATCGTTAAACAAAGCCATGGCAGTGTCGCCATCTACTTGCTTCGCCGTCTTCCATCCTGGTTCAAGCTGAGTATTTTCGTTGTGTATAATGGTAGGCGCCTCTGTAGAATGCATTTTGGAGGGATGCTGTGCCTCGGTAGCTCTGTCACCCATCTTGCTTCTCGTTGCTTCTTCCTTGCAAGTCAGCGGTGGTATAGATGAGCAGCTAAAAATGTAGACGTCTCAGATCCTATTTCCGGGCGAAGCTGGATCCAGTTGGTATTTGAATGACAGTAGCTTGATAGACCCCAAAAGCCGAAGCGGAGAGCTCATTGCCCAGATTCTCATATCATGCCCACAGGAGGCGTTGGATAATCGTCCCAAGCGTAAATTCCATATAAGGATGTATCAACGCTGAAGTATCTCCACCCTACCCCGAACGAGCCAAACATTTTACCATACCCCAGGTTGGAGCTCAAATCTTCGGCCTTGCTTCCGGCACATTTTGCGGGGTTGAAAGCTACAAACCAGTAGTAAGGAGTACGACGTGGGGGTCGATATTGTCATACAGCGGTGTTGGCCATTGAGAGATTCAGAGGCACTCGGGGAGAATGCCAGCACCAGCACAAATAACGTCTTGGTTGGCCGGTTCATTGGTCAAGGTTGAGATTCGCGGTGATGGGCAGGGTGACTCCCGATGCGGAGTAATCGAGCAGTCGGGGTAAGACCGAGAATAAGGCGTGTCATCCTCGTCTGGCAGATGATAGGTGGAAATCGACGAAATTCGTAGCCGATGCGTCAGTCATGACCCTTTCATTCAGTTTCAGCCGATTTTTATACGTGCGTCAATATTGATACGAGGTCGATGATTTTAGAATTGCCGAGTTGAGGAAGGGACGAAGGTTCTGGGATGTGGAGGCCAACGATCAGCAGCGGGAGGCGGGGGATGGCCTGAGGCCCCGGGGTACCACCGGCGTGGGGGTCATATAATAGAAGATTGTCATATTGAGAGATAGATACAGAAGAGGGAAAAGACGCGCTCCCTCCTTTATGCAGACTAGCCAAAATGCTTCTAGGTCCCAGCAGTTCAGGTTCATATGTACAAAAGTTTTTGTAGGAAAATAAACGGACCATAGGAGGCCCTGAGAGGAGGTTGGTATCAGACACAAATGAAATGGCAGACAAGCAATGAAATAATCGGCCGAGAGAGCTAATACAAGATTCGAGTCTATCCAGCATTCTCCTCCCGGATATTATGCTGCCCAACAATGGCGAGGAAGACTTGGTCCAATGTAGTTTGGCTGACAGAGTAATACTGGACGCCTAGAACAGGCTTGCTCTGCTCCAGCTTTGAGAATATGGAGCTGAAGATGCTGTTGCTGGCAGCTCTTGGGCCCCCTGGAACCATAAGCCATGATTGATATTTGAGTTCGCGTCCGAGCTCTTCTTCCTCGGCGATAGGACCCTCGGCATATTCAGTGATTTCTGTCTTCGAAGATGAAGACGCCGCTGTTGCAGGGATACTGAACCTTATCTGCCCATGATAGGTCTTCTGCTCTATCACGGCACCTGGGAAGTTGTCTTGCACCCAATCGCGGATGCGTTCCATAGTTTCGTCCCTAGTGTGTGGTGCCTGTGAATGGACTAGATGGACATGATATTTGTTGCCATATTTCTTCCGCAGGTAATCAGTTGTCCCCAGCGCCAGCATACGCTTGGCCATGATTCCTGCCCGAGTTGCCAGTGCATCTGCCTCCTCCATGGAGTGGGTCGTCAGCACAATGGAGCGTCCAGGGACTACAGATGCCAATGTCTTCCACATGACACGCTTTGAGGCCGCATCCATTCCCGAGCTAGGTTCATCCAGCAGCAGGACGAGAGGGTTGCCCATCAAAGCAATACCGAGAGAAAGCTTGCGCTTATTACCTCCTGACAATTGTGTTGCCATGCGGTGCTGGAAGGGAGTAAGACCCACAGCACGCATTACTTCGGTGACGTTGTGCTTCACATCGGTCACACCACGGATGCGAGCATAGAAGTCCAAGTGTTCAATGACGGTCATTTGATCCATTGCATCAAACTGTGGACAGACCCCAAGATGGGAGCGTGCTGCTGCACGGTTCTTCCGAACTGAAATATCGTTCACAAAAATATTTCCTCCATTGTCGGAAGGTACCATATCACCGCGGATGAGAGAGATTGTGGTGGTTTTTCCTGCTCCATTCGGCCCTAAGAGAGCGAAAACTTGCGATCTTGGCACCCCGAATGTCACGTCGTCCACTGCGACAGACTTCTTGAACTTCTTCGTGAGGTGCAGGACTCGTAATCCGTCGGTTGAGTTTTCCACTCGTGCTAATTCAGCGGCAATATCACCATCGACAGTATTCTTCTCTTCCACATGGTTCTGCTTGGCTCTCCTCCTCATCATGGAGAACACAGGCCCTCCATCAATCCAAAGAAGCAATCCAAACAGGACAAAGGATTGGCAGACCAGATAGAGGATTGGGCCTCCGTAGAGAGCGATCTCACCTGGATACGAGGCAATTTCTCGTCCTCGGCATAGGATGGAGAACGTATTCAGCGAAGTAAACATTGCTCGAAGAAGATTTCCGGATGGCGCAATGAGGCCGATGGTAAAGTGCGTTATCTCAAGGTACCCATCGACTTTCTGAGTAGGTGCGTATGTCAATACTGACATGTAGGCGATGAAGTAAATCAAGAACAAGACGCACTGTCCGCCAGCTGCAATTGCGAAAGCTGCAAGCTGAGACTTCGAGAAGAGGGAAACCACATATGATAGTATCGTTGTACACAACCCGTAGAGGAAGAACACGACGAAGAGATATTCGGCATGGTACCATATATCCGACGCGGCCCTGAATATGACTATTGCAAGGACGCTAGATGCGACGACGATACAGAAGTCGAACGTCAGATATGCTAGCCACAGCGAGGCGCCTCTCACTCCGTTGCTGAAATGAAGCGCTCTGACATTCTTCAAACGCTCAACGGTGGGATAGAGAGCAAACAAAGCAGGGTATACCGACATAGCAAGACCGAAATAGACGACCAGCTGGAGTGCCTTCCCAGAATCTGACTGCCATGGAATGTCGAAAAACTGAAAGTGGAAAGAGATGGGCACGTTGGTCAAGAAGTTACCCATGACATTCTGGGTGACAGCGGATAGCGGTAGGTGACCGTTGTCTCCCTTCCACGCGAATGTAGGCGCAGAATATGCGTCTCCTAGGTAGAAACCGCCAGGTGTTATGTTGGCATAGTTTTGAGATATATAATCTTCAAACTCCGCGAGACTGTTTACCAGGTGAAATCGAGAGTCGACATTCAAAGATGTATTCTGAGCCGACCCTAGCGAACCAGATAGGGTGCCAATGAAGCCCTCAAGAGCGGAGATAGACAGCTTGTCTCGAGGACCAACCACAAATTTGAAGTTGTCCAGAGACGCCAGTGACTCTAAGCCAGATGCATGATACGTACTTTCCCCCGAACAGCCTGCCTTGGTAGCACCCTTCAGGAAAAGAGTAACAAGTCCGGCCGCAACGACTGGGATGAGCAAAGCCGCCAAGTATGGGACCGGGTTGCGGCGCAATATTGTGACCCTCTTGCGAAACAAATACCACGACTGAAGGAACATGCCAATGCGTTTTCCGGTCAACAGCTGAAGCCCTTCACTGTCACCGCTTCCAGGATTCTTCTCAGTGTAAGTAGTTCCCTTCGGTGCGATGTTAGGCTCTTCTCGTAGTCTGTCTGAGTCCAACTCTTCTGCAACTTTGAGAAAAACATCCTCTATCGTCGGCCCGCTGACACGATACTCTGTGACACCCTTCTCTTCCAACTTTGACATCAGACGAGAAGCTTCCGCGGAATCCTTCGCGTAGTAGACGGTATCGTCAAAATGGACCTTCTTTTCGATACTGTCGAACTGTGGACGAGATGCCTTCTCTGAGCCAGGGACGTTGAGCACATGAATTCGGTAACCTGAACCCAGTCTATCCTTAAGCTCAACGCTCGAGCCCTGAGCCTTGAGCGAACCCTTGGATAAGATTGTGATGTGATCAGCGAGAAGGTCTGCCTCATCCAGAAAATGAGTAGTCAAAAGGATTGTCCGCGATCCTCTTTCTGCAAGAAGGATGTCCCATATTTTGGCGCGTGCAATTGGATCAATTCCAGACGAAACCTCATCAACAGCGCAAATCGACGAGCCGCCGGTAAGCATCATGGCCAATTGAACTTTTCGTTTCTGGCCCCCCGAGAGAGTCCTCGAGCGCGAGTCTACCTTCTGAGCCAGGTCACAGTCGTTTAGCAATTTCAGAAGCTGCTCATTAGTGTCCACTTCTCCAGTGCTCTTCAGCCTGTTGAATATCTTGATATGCTCTTTCACTGTAAGCGTATCCCAGAGGACGTTCTTCTGTGGGCAGAGACCAAACCGTCCGCCCGAGTCGCCGTAGTCTACATCGATACTCCCGGAGGTTATTGTCGTCAGACCCGAGATGGCATCCAGTGTGGTAGATTTGCCCGAGCCGTTTGCACCGAGGAGCACCACAATTTCGCCTTTTCTGACGTCCATGGAAAGGTCGTTCACGGCCAGTACACTCTGTCGGCTGCTTCCAAACCATGGGGCTACCTTTTGGAAGAACCAACTTGGCTGATATTCCTTGGTAAATCCATTTAAACGCACAGCGATTGAGTCGACAGAGTTCACTGTCCTTCGACTCTTGGACTTGGTGCCATAAAGGACTCGCTCGACAACGGCGGCCAGTAGAGGATAGACGATGATTTGAACAATCAGTAGAATCCAGAGAGCTATGCCAGGAACTGTCCACGGATTCTCTGGAGCTGCGTGCACGAGGTCCGTAGCGAGACCCTGTCTCTCCCATCGAGCCATGAGAACAAAGAAGTAAACAAAGTTCATCGGCGGGAATAGAAGACTGAGGATGATAACAGCACCGTTTGTCGAAGCAGGTGCCAGTTGCGCGATTACTCCCAAAATCAAACAAACGATAACGACAGTGATGCCGCTGAGCTGAGCTTTCCTGAAAAAGGAGGCGCCGAATATGGAAAAGGAGGACAACGCGAGACCGGCTAGGATATTGTAGATTATGACGATTCCAGCCGAGGTCTTGCCGTACACCCCAAATTTCAGGATTGCACCGGAGATAATCCATGCTGGGCAGTACACGATATCCAAAGCCAGGTGTGCCGCAATGAACCGAGCAGCTTGCGATTGCCAGTGGGAGGGGTTGGGCAACATGCAATCAATCAGCTGGCTCATCCCGAGCTCTCGTTCCATCGCTACGAGCCCAGTAAGCTGGTACGTGACACCCACAATTTCAATGAAGATAGCCACGGCGATGATGTCAATGATGGCGCCCATGTAGCGGGTTCGGATCTGTTCCTGTCGTTCCTCTTGGGTAAGGGACGTGAACGGGTATTCCTCAACCTATACCAGGATTAGTCGAGCAGGCCAGAAGCACTATGTTCATTGAGCGTACGTGATTCGGAAGAGCGTTACTGTTGTTGGTCGAGTTGACCTGCGCTATCGCCCAGTCAATCGAATGCTGGAACGGAAGGAGGTAGATCTCCTGATCATTGTCGTTTCGGTTGACTTTGATACCAACACCTAGCGAACCATCCGTACGGATTGAGTAATTCCAGTATCCGTTTGGTCCTTCACTGGGAGAAGAGTAAAAGATAGCCGCAGCTATGCATGATGACACTCCACGAAGCGATGTTCGACACAACTCTCGTAGCTCATCCTCTGACGAAAGAATATGTACTTGTTTTGCGCTGGCCCTTGCAGGATCCGCAACTCGGTTGATGACTTGCTCAACATCGCCGCCAGTCAGGCCATTGTGGACGAATACCAACTTGTCTCTACTCCCTGAGGCGGCTCCTAGCGCTGCTCCTAGCGAACGGAGGGGAGTGGGACTGCCGACGCCATACTCTGATGGAGGGATGAAAAGGTTCTTTGCGTAGGATCTACTTCAATCAGTGACGGCCTTTCATTAACCAACGGGCGACACAGGTAGTCTACATGAAAGCAACGAAAATCACTGGCAAGACCAGAGCTCTGAGGGTGGTTGTGAATGATGGGCGCACAAAGACAACGAGCAGATTCTTGACTGTGAGCGTCCAAATCTGCCTAAGGAAGAGATTCAACATGTCGCCTGCGGGTTCGGTAGACAGCGATATCACTCGACTCCTGAGCTCATCCTCGATCACATAAAAAGCGAGAGTGAACGTTATGTTCGAAATTGATGAGCCCCCTAGTTATCGCTATTATTATTGGAACATCTTGCGATTAGCGCAAGACGACCAGGCTGATGATGTCTAAGCGACCTCGGCGCAAGACGCTGAGACCGGTATTTCTTGGATATCCTGGCATGGCAATCTATGTGTACAGCACTGCCCACCAGCTAGGCATCTGCGATCGATTCACTGAAGAGCTGTGATTGGACTGACGGCAATGTACCATATCAGATCGTGCCAACCAAGACAGATTCGGTTGGCGCCCAGAAACCGTCTGAGGGGAAATTCCCCGATACAACATTCAGCCACCTTACAAGCGAAGCCAAGGGTTCCAGAATTTTCGTAGGACTCAAATCTCGCTACTGTCTGGTGTCGTCATGCGACATAGCTATAGTCACTATGGATCTTTTGTCTACATCGCTACAATTGCAAGACTCTTGTGTCTGTCCACCTATCCAGGTGGCATCGTGGCAACGTGTCTCATGAACCAGGTAGAACGGTAGGATCGGCGGCTCCATTTCCAGAGACACTGCTGAGATTCAAGCTCGCGGGTACCGGGAAGAGAGTACCGATCACCGATATTGATACCCCGTTATTGTAGGACTATGTGGGATTATCCATTGGTCGATGTACTCCCAAAACAACAGTTTTCATTGCAAAAGCAGTAGATGCTGACGGGAAATGGCCTCTATTCCAGTCTCAATGTGTGCGCCAACAAAGGTCGATTCCTGAATATCCATGTGCAAATATAGTAGTATAATACATTTCGCCAAAGTCATAATACAGACAGAATGTGAATTGCTGCAATTCACCGTCTCTGTCTCCGTGCACCGGCTGAACGCTGACCAGTAAGGACCGACTTCTGCCGCAGGTAGTTCGACACGATGTTCTCAACACTTCCCACATCGTGCCTGGGCTTCCTGTAAGTTCGAGAGAGGAAAGTATTAGCTTCGATCCACAGGGGGAACATTCTTCCTGGTGATGCCCATCATTAGATGCCGGTACATACCTCATGTAGTACAATCTTGCTCTTCTCTTCCTCTTCTCCGTCCTCTGTACAATTTCCACACTCTCGACGTTTGGACTGAAGACCTTCACGGCCATCTCCACGCCAACCCTCGTGAGCTCATTTCGGAGAAGGAAAGAAGTATCAATGCCCCGCAAACGGATGCTGAGACACACCCCCGAGAATGGGTCTCCGTTCTTAAATGTCACACGCAGAATGTCGCCCACTTTCACGCTTCGGGGGTTTCGGCGGTAGTCAAACAGAGCCCTACGCTCACCTGTGGGGTCAAGAGCGGCTAGCTGAGACTCTGTCAATGCTGCGACGGGGTCTTTGCAATTTGCACGAGGTGTCGGGGGTGGTGGGTAGATCTTGAGCTTCTTGCGTCCTGTCTTGGATATTAGACATAGCAAATACGGTGAAAAGCTGGAGGATTGGCTCAATTACCAGCATTTGGTTGCAACCGAGTAGGTATTTGTGAAAGAAACGACTTTGGCAATTTCGAAGGGAGAGGTGCAGGCTCTGGCTTCGGGGAATATGCGGTGCTGATGGAACGGTTGAATTGCGGCCGCAGCAATCCGTCTGCCTTCATAAAAGTCCTCGAGCAGCCCAGCTGCCGCAATATGGGCGAAAAGGTCGCCATCAGTGTAGAAGTTGCGCGTGGTGGTCAGCTCCGTGATTGTGATAGAATCTTGTAAAGACCGCAATTCTCGCAGGCGGAGGTTGATCCGGTCCGGCAGAATTTCCGCCAAGCCTCAAATTGCCTGTTCGAGTCTCACCAAGAGTTCGATATCCCGGGGAATTTTTGTCCAGAAAATAAACCCATCACAGCTCTCGCATCGATTCTGCATCCTATTCGGTCGTCCAGCACCTTGGTCTGCCATTTTAATAAAAGCGCACTATTCTCAATCTTGCTCCAGAGCAGATATAAAATGGCGCAAAGCGCCGTTGGCAGGCTCTTCCGCTGCCAGAACAGCAGCTACCTGCGTCAATCCATTGGATCTATTACACAATATCGTACATATTCGCATAATGGTAAGCATGGGTTTGAATCCAAGAGCAGACAACCTCCCACGGCAAAAACACTGACATGATTTGCAATTAGCAATTCCCACCTTCCCTCCGACATCCTCCCCCGAACTAGACCAGGCCCTCAAACGTTTCCGAGAAGAGCTTTTCATACCTTTTGGCTTGAATACCGAGCAAAGGAGGTTAATGTTTCGACGGAAATATGCGGAGAAACTTGAGCAGCAACCAGTGACGGTAAATATTGGCGACAACGATGAGCCTTACCAACTCCGGCCCATGGATCCGCTGTCCAGACCACCAAAGAAAGAATTCAAGGATGTTGTCTTGCTCATGAAGACCAGGAAAGACTGGCAGAACCTTGCACCTTTCCTTGGCGGGCTACAGACGTCGAAGAGACCATTAAGCCTCGCGAACTGGGAGTGGACTGTGCGCAAAGCTGGTGAGGCCGACGCACTCGGTGCCATCCTCGAATGTGCGAAGCAAACGGAACGGACCGGTCTTCGATTGGACAACAACGGGATCGTCCAGCGTATCTTCTTCGAGCTCCACAAGAAAGCTCAGAAGGAGCAGTTCAAGGATCCCGCAGTCTCCAAGGCTCTTGGCATGGCTAAGCAGTTTGCCGCGTTGATGGAAGCTCCGGAGCATTCCCGGAATGTCCAGAACATAAAAGAAGATCCCAAACGACAACCCTTTGTCATCGGTACTCTTCTTGAGCTTAGCGCTGCTCGTGCTGTGAACGAACTGGGAGGCAAGGATGAGTCCGGCGATGTGTATGCCTATGCTCAGCGCCTCATGGCGAACTGGGAGGCAGGCAACTTTTTCCGCGATGTCACGGATTGGTTTACAGTCGATCGCATGCTCCAGGAGAACGTGCCTATCTACAACGGAATTACGCTCGCCCTTCAGGTTGAGGGCGTCGCAAATGACAAATCTGTGTCTGGTCCTCTGAAGAGACGCCTGAACCACTTGCGTCTATTGATTGCCAACCATAAGGAAATGGCCCCCGAGAATGTCCAGCAAAAGCCGACACTGGGCTATCAACAAAGCCAGCTCCTGCATTAGCCCTGACCCTGTTGCATCACCACTGACTTCTTCGTGATATGTATATTACCACCTTAGACTTTGTTCCAATATTGTATTTGCCGTTCATCCTATCTTGTGGATTGGCGGCGCTCACCGCAAGAAATCAAAGGACTAGCGATCCAACTTGAAAACCGCGAGTGGCTCAGTAGCCCATGGAAAAAAAGAAAAAGGGCGCGCTCGAAATACATGCACTGTCAACGTCATAAGCCGAGATACGGATAGTTTCAAAGGGAAAGCTCCAAGGTGTTGTCCTCTCGTATGCGGCCCCGCGACGAAAGACTGGTTTTACCAGAGACAACAGCGGGGCCGGAAACAGTAATCTATTCGGGAGCAGTCAGTGAATGGAATAAAATAATGCAAAGGAAAGAAA